TACACAATTTTTAATACATACTTACTAATTACATCAAATAAGCACTTTTTTATTTTCTGAGACTAATAGACTTAATATCTAAAACAAATTTTACTTTGTCATAGTAGGTATTTTTCTTCCTTCCTTCGAAAGTGTAGCACTGAGATACACTCACTTCTGAAAATATCGTTCCATTTATGCAAATTGTATAGATGGAACGAACAGAGAGAACATAGACGAACATAAAATTAAAGAAAAATATTTGAGCACAAAAAAAGAAATTGAAAATAAAGAAGAAAAACAGATTTAAAGGCAGTAAACGAAATAGGTATTATTAAACCCCAGTATATATACCAATCAGTATTGGCACTCTGAGGCGGCACGTTTGACCTTTAATAGTTATATGACACTTGACGTTTTCGGGATATGAAAAGTTTTCTTTACACGGACTTGGTATACCTGGTTAGTTGAATTTTTGTTCTGCTGCTTTTCAAATTCGTGTGTATGAGGGAGATGTGAGATACCTTTATAGACAACGGTTGAACAACTTAATTACTTTGAAGAAGAAAATAGATTAGATATCAGGGCAGTCTTCGCAAATGTAAGAAGGACAGAACCGTTTTAAATTTTTTTATACATGTGAAATATTACTTTTTGGTGAAAAGTTTAATTACTTTTAGTTCAAAATATAACGTTAGTTTGTCAAGGGAAATATATAACACACAAGGTTAGAGTAACAAAATAGAGGTATTGCTTTATTTATTAAGAATTACTCTAATCTAAAACTTTTCTAGTATATTGTAAAAATTTATTCTATACGTTATTTAGGTACTGCAAAATCTATAGGAAAGTATGTAGTTTTAAATTTAAAAATTTATAACGGAGACATATTTAGTGTAGTTTTTTTACAAATATATACTCAGACTTGTTTTTGTGAATGAGTTCAAGTATGGCAGACTAAAATAGTTATTTTTTATTATGAATTAATTTGAATTTATTTTAAAATAGGAACTATATGTATATGGTTTTCGTAATTTTTACACTTGTGATAAAAATATCAAAGTTATGTATATTGGCCATTTACTACACACAGCAAATTCATAGACACATTATACATATTACTATTTGACATTCTTGTAAAACCACTAATTTAAAATTGATTTTAAACTAAGTGACTACACACGGAATTGTTTGAAAGCAGCCATAAGGTATAATTTATTTATTGGATACTATAATAAAATTAATAGTAGTTACATGTAGAGTTAAGTAACAAGAAATTTAAGACCAAAAACAAAACAAACTTTTATATCTAGTGAACTTAATTAGTACAGTCCTCAACTTTCTTAGGCTAACATTAAAGATATCTGTTTGGATCTCGCTAAGAAACTCATTGATAACAGCCATCATCTTGTTAAAACGAGATATACTACTTGGATCTTAATCAAATAATTTTTTGTTACTTGGGTTTCTTAGATTAATCTTTGCCGCATTAACATTTATATAGTCAATCAATTCACAATCTTTGTACTTAAAATAGAGTACAAAATATATCACAGCCTGTTGCTTTCTTCTTTGTAAAAGAGATTTAATCTTAAAACTATTGAGCATAGTTTTATACGAGATCTTAGGTATAAGGGTACAAGTATTTTTTATGACATAAAGATACCGTAAAAATATTTTTTGTACTTTTTCAATATGATCAATTTGTGTGGCTTCCAAGGGCATCCATATTTGTGAAACATACTCAAGATGGAGTCTTACTAAGGCATTGTATAATCTGATTTTGGTGGTAATCCTAAATTTTTTTGTATTTCTGATTTAAAAACCTAATGCTTTTTGCTTTTTTAGTTATGTTTAAAAAATGGTTATTGAACTTCAAATTAGACTGAAAGACAACTCCCAAATCCTTTACCTCATATTCACGATTTAATGTGACATCACAGGTCTTATTTCTAATGTAAAACATTAAAAGGCTATGGATCCTTCCAACTTAAAATATGCATACGTTTGTAAGTGTTAAATAGACGAATAAAAAGTGTTGATTTTTATTTACAACTATAATAAGAACCCATTAAAAAGATTAAGAGCAATAGAATATTTCAACAAATTTCTATAGGTACACATGATTTTGATACCTGATAATCAATAAATAATATATTTTTTGGAGTAGCAACAGGTTTATTAATACACAACTATTATTTTGTTACAAATACTTATAATATTTATAATTAACATAATAGTTGATATAAGTCCTTTAAAAATAATATATTTTGATTTAATTGTTGAATTTATACATGAGCAATTTTCCTTGTAGCCTTGTTTACATTTTGCAGAGAAATATTGTATTCTGCTTTTAGCTGATAAATCATGTACATGTAAATGGGTTGAATGTAGACAATGTTAATGTTACTACTGCTGGCTAGGAATGCTGGGCTAGGACACCAACAAGTAAAAAGGAAGCACAAAGCACTAGATGTTTTTATCACTTATACACGTACAATTTACAACCATTCAAGTAACTAGCATATTGGAAATACTTCACGAAAACATATTAAACATAAATCAGTCGAAGGCAATGTATTTTATTTTTATAACACACCTTTTTAGCTTGATTACTTTTAGTACTCTATTTATTCCAATGTCCTCAAATAAAACGAGCAATAATAAGGATAAAACACACACTGAAGTGTATTTGGGGTATTTTTGATCTAAATCCACTATCAAAATAACAAATTTTCCGTTTTTAAGCTGTGAATGTATTACAAAAACTCCTTCGATAAAATGTAAACAAAGTTTATATTTGTGTACGAAATATGGGTTGCCTGCGCATGGTAGCGAGTTTTTAACCGGATTTATGACAAGTGATAGGTTATATCCCGAAAACGTCAGCGCAGTAAAAGCTGCGCGTCTTTTTCCCGCCCAGGGAGTGTCATGGGCCTGATTAAACAATATAGAAGAAAAACTTAAATTAAAGAATTAAAGAAAGAAAATTAATGAAATTAGAAAAATCAAAGAGGAAAACAGGAGACAAGATAATAAAGTAAAATATATGGAAAATAATTTAAGTAAAATCTCGATCTCGACTTTTAGAGAATCTCGACCGAACAATCTCGATCTTGATCTTGCCGAGATCATTAAAAGATAATATTATTCTTGGAAAATAAAAAACTACCCTTTCAAATAGATACGTTAGAATATCCATTAACATTATAAAAATAAATATTTATAAATTTTATAGAATCATAAAAAAATATTAATTTTTTTAAATAATTTATATTAAAAATATTATAATACCTTTGAGGTAAACCAAGAATTGAAGCATATAAGGAGATTGGTCAAATCAGCTGTTAACTGGCTTCGATGTTTTCTTATGATGATGCCAGTTTTTGAAAACAGTTTTTCGGCAGGGACTGATGTGGCCCAAAAAATAGCGAGCCATTTTTAAAAAGCGAGGGGTAATCATTTTGATTGTAAATCCACCACATAATGTCCGCATCCTTATCGGCGAGATCTCGACGAGATTTTTTCGAGATCCCGGCGGCGTAAATAGAAAAGCTACTTCAATACGTCCCCCAGGCAGTGACCAACTAGACTAGGGTTTTTATGCGTTATTCGTGCAGAAAACCTACTTGAATATAGCCCCGGATGGTGCTGTATTGGACTAGGATTTTTCGGTTTATACGTGGCGTAATATTCTGTAATTGCTACTTTAGTACGGCAAGTGTTTCTTTAGTGGTTATGTTTATAACACGTGGCGGCTCGGTATTTGGTTGTTTATAAAGAAAAAGTGAATTAACAATATATCCTACTAATAAAATGGAAGAAACTATTGAAACACTACTTAGTGCAATATTAACTGACTATCGAATCGTAAAAATGGACGGTCAAAGTGACGAAAATTATACTGTGTCTTTTCAATGCAAGTTGAGTGGTGAAAGACATGATGAAAAATGTGATAAGTTTATACAGGCTTTTTCCAATAAGACAGCGAGCAATTGGGTGGTTGAGAAATGCATTCGTGAGGGACAACGATTTGAATTTCGTAAACGGTATTTATGCCATCTTTCATTAAAGAATAAGGTAAAAAATAAAAAGACTGGAGAAACGCGTAACTACAACTGTCATGCAAATATCAGCATAAAATTTTTGAAACAAACACATAACACTTTAAAGAAATCCAAATTACTTAGGGAAGGATTACACGTTTTAATAGACATACATTATGTACATAGTCACAGATTGCACGTTGCTCAGGCTTACAACCTTTTACGTTGCAATGATGACGTCAAGGCGTTATTTGTCTCATATTTTGAATCAGGAATGACTCCTGCAGCAGCGAAAATATTCCACGAAATGGAATTGGCTCAAAATGTTGGTTTGAGGGTTGTTCAATGCTTAGCAAATGTTCAAAAAAACCCTACGGAAACACAAGTTAACTATTTATATAAAAAATGGCGAAATGAACGCTACGGTGAAAGAGATGTGAGTAGCGCGATTGAAATTTTAAAGAAGAAGCAGGCCGATCTTTCGGAAGGCGAATTATATATAAGGTAAGATCCTACTATTGTCGTTATTATCACGCCTATTATGAAAAGATTGTTTTTAGGTGGATTTGCGAATGAAATATTACCTATTTATAGATTCTAGCTCATCATGTGTCCAGAGCAATACAAGTGTGTCCTTTTTTTTCGTTCCTACCAAAGTAGGCGCGGCACCAGTTGCAGTAGCTTTCCACACAAGTCAAAGTGAAATAAATTATTTATTGGTGTTTAATGCCGTGAAGGAAGCATTAGAAAAAATACTGAATTATTATTTTCGCCTCCAGTTATAATGACTGATGCTTCAACAGCAATGCGAAATGCTCATAAAGTGGTATTTCCGAACTTTATTACTGTGTATTTTTCATGTAACCCAGGCGCGATGGCGTTGGCTCTGGTTAAAATCCCAAATTAATAATGAACTTGTTTAGCGAAATTTTGTTTTCCAGTACCGAAGAAAACGCTAATGATTGTTTTACAAAGATGAAAGACCATGATGCTGTAAATACCAACCCAAAACTTATGAAGCATTTAAGAAATTTGTGGGAGAGACGCAAAGAATGGGCGTTAGGTTTTCGACGATTTACGGTAAATAGAGGACACAATACAAATAATTATTGCGAGGCTTCTATACAAATTTTTAAAGATATCGTCCTTCAGAGGTGTAAAGCCTTCAATATGTGTGCTTTGGCAGATTTTATGCTTAAGACATTTGAAATATATCACAGAAAAAGACTGCTACATTTTGCTAATTCGAGATCCCGAAAAATGACACTGGACTCTCAGAAATTTTTTGAAAAATCCAAAAATATAACAGAAGTCATACAGGTTGATGAAAAAATATTTAAAGTTCAGAGCGAACAAACATTAGAGTACTACGTAGTTGATAGTCTACAAAATAAATGATGAGTTTACACGCATTGGTCAAGTTTTACAAAGTGACGCAAATACGAGCCATATACCATAGTTACAGGTAAGAATTTCGTAACCTGATTATCAATTACTATATAGAACTTTTTTATTTACAGAAGTTTGCCGCTGTACTAGAAACTCTACAAACCCCATCACAGATCATGTCATTTGTGTGTCACAAAACAGCCGGTAGGAGATCAAGAAAAATTAAAGTACAACCAACATCTATTTCACGCCGAAAAGCTAGAGGTATTTCAGGAGGAAGAATTCAAGCTGGACGTCCTGCGAAATTAGAGCGCCAAGGCGCCAAAAAGCGACCCCATAATATAGCATTCAATATTGAGAATAATTTACAGTGTGCCAAAAAACATTAATAAACGATGCAAATATAGCACCACACTTATAAGTAAGAATGTCGCCACTTGATTATCAATTATTACTTAATAAAACTTATATTTACAGTAATTTGACAAAGAACAACCCACAATTACATCACGTCGAAGAGCTAAAGAAACCTATTTCAGTTAAGATGCCAAAAAGCAATCCCATAATATAGCCTTTAATATTAAAAATCATTTACAGTATGATAAAAAATATTAATAAACTATTCAAATACATATGTTTTTATTTACGCAAGAAAACACGGGCTGTACTGAAGTAGTATTTCTGCATGTTTAGGAACCGTAATAACGAGCAATCCTACTCCAATACCCGGTGATATATTCAAGTAGGTTTTCTGCACAATTAACGCATAAAAACCCTAGTCTAGTTGGTCACCACCTGGGGACGTATTGAAGTAGGTTTTCTATTTACGCATCCCGGCGAGATTTTTTTGAGATCTCGTTCTCGCCGAGATCTCTACTCTCGATCTTGGCTTGTTATGCAGATCTTGATCTTGGATCTCGTCTCGATCTCGAAAAGAGACCGAGACGAGATCGAGATTTTCCTCGTCTCGTGCGCACCACTAGTTAGAAGATAAAGAAAAACAGTAAATAAAATAATAAAAGAAATATAAAAGTAAAAAGAAAATAAAGAATAGTATATTATTTGAAAAATAAAGAACTTAATTTAAAAGAGGGACGGAACAAGGTAAAATTGAAAAGAAGAACAGAATTTGAAAAATAAATTAGAACTAGAAAATATTAAGTGTAGTGTATACCTTGGTTATATATCTATGTGTATACCGGATAATAATGAGACCAGGGCCACGTTAATATCTTTTTTATTTATAAAGCAATTTTGATAAAATTTGGGACACACATAATAGACATCATTTATAAATATTGTACTTATATCAATTACATTTCTGCAGCGAAACGTTTTATAAAAATTGTGAATAAGTACAAAAATAAAAAGAAATAATCATCAGTTATCAACACTGATGTAATAATAAATAAATAATAGGAAACCTAGGCAATATCATAAAAGTACGAGTATATATTAACAAGAAGAAACAGGACTCTTATTAAAACTTGGGTAAAGAATGTAAATAAGGCAAATGGGGTATTCTTTTTTCTTTTGAACTGAAATTTCTACACTTAAAAAACTACACTCAGAAATAGAAAATAGCCCCACTATTCCAAATATATCATATTTTCATCTACAAAAAATATTGCATGAATTAAATTTTCGTTACAAAAAACGTGATAGAAACAGCTTTTTAACAGAGGAAGACGAAATCATTACGTGGAGACATTATTATTTAAGGAAAATAGCGGACGCAAGGAATCAGCATAAACAGGTATTTTATTTAGATGAAAAATGCTGAACATACAATAACAAAAATTTGGCAAGATACCTCCATCAAAACCAAAAAACAAGCCTTTATGGAATGTGTCTCTTGTGGATTAAAAACAACTTTTTTCATTCAAAATTTAATCTACGAAGTGTGTATATATACTATTTTGTATATCGTGATCATATTTATATTATATAAACTTATTTTGCAAAGTATGTCACTTATAAACAAAAATAAGCAAAAAAAAAATATTTTTCGAAAATTCGTAGAATTTTACACACGGACTTGGCGCTGAACGTGTGTTTTATTGGTAATTGTACAACTTACATTCCATGTCCATTTTTAATCAAATATGTTAAGCCGTTTTTTATGGGTACAAGTTGGCTTAAATCGATTTATTTTCGAACCCAGAAACTATGGTTAAATTTACTCTTAATGTTTTTATTACACCCTATCAGTGGCGGCTCGTGGGCACTAGCGGCAGTGGGAACACACTGGAATGGAATCCTGTGATTCGTTTTTCCCGTAGGAAAACAAGTTCTCCGCTTAATGAAAATTAAATATATTTCAAAACAATCAGTTGGGGCAATAACGATTTGTGAATGTGACTACAGGGAGCTAAGTGTGACCACTCATAATGCATTTAACTATGTATGTGGCTATTTAATCAAAAAATCATTACATATCTACTCTTGCGAAATTTGCGTAAATTTCTCAGAAGAATGTACATTACTTAACAATTCTAACTTGTTAACGCATTTTAAAGCTTACGACTATGAAAACAAGGTGTTTGGCAATTTAAAATCTCCCAGCGAAAAATGTTTTTTTTATATTTTCAAAATATTTATATCTCTATTTGATAGTTTGTCAACTAAGCCTGGAATTTCCAACGCATACCTTTTTGAGATGAGCAAAATAGAATTTGGTCATCCTTGCCAACAATTTGCGAAAATGTACACCATTAAATTATTTAAAAGACTCGGAATTTTTTGTACTCTTAAATATACAAACAGATATTTGAAATCCTCGAAAAAGTCAGACAAAACCAAAAGAAAAATTAAAATTTTGTCTCATTTATAAATATTATTGATTTTTTTTCATCATATTTTTGAATGCTTTATAAAAAAAGTTATTTTTCTTTGTAGTTTTGTTTCTAAACTATTCCAATGGTCCAACTAACGTTATTTCGTAATTACAATAAATAAATTATTATCATGGTCCAACAAACACGCACCTTAAGCCGAAACCGGCATCGCCTTTGTGAGGGAGCCGGTAAAGATGCCACTGCGTACATTCGTATCTGGTCTAGGTAATCTGTGCCATGGGTACAGCACGTCACGATGAGGACAGCGTCCCGCTTCTGACGTATTATCCATCGCATGTGTTCATCTCCTGCTGAGCGATATTGTCGTTGTCCTTGTTTTTCACAGCATAATGAGAGAGAAAACAACAGAGGCACACATTTACTGTGCCCATCTTCCACTTAATTTCGGAATTCTCGGAAAGTCGCTCAACGCCCGGTCGTCCAGTGCCGTGCCAACGCGGTTTGCGCTGAATATTAGATAAAATAATAATAGGCATTGAGGAAAATATAAAATATGTAAGTTTTTTTTTTTGATTTATCATACTAGAGCACGTGCCCAACTCAGATAACAATTATACATTCTTAGAATATTCTTAGTATATACTTTTTAAGAATACGCATATGCTGAGAATATACTGTATTTGCATTTGGTACATTCTTAGAATATGCTGAGCATATGCTACGTGACGTTGTTTATACGTGCTATGCAGATACTGAGAATGTACTTCAAGTATGTGTACAGTATGCAACAGGTATCTACTTTAATTTGATAGTACGTTCTAAGTATATGCTAAGTATTTAAATATAGGCATATACTAGACATCTTAATACAGGATGTTTAATTAATATTGAACATTAAAGAATAAGTGTATATAATGAGTCTTTATTTCAAAAAATTCATACTTATTTTTATTACAAATACTATCTTTGGCCTTAACCAATCAATATTTTATTGTATCAATGGCTTGAGTTTCATTTGCTTGATTCCATTGGATCTTCATGGAACCTAAAAAATAAAAAAAATTAACAAACTTGCTACATTTACAAATTAAGTGTACATAGCTAATGGAATATTTTAAATATTTTTGTCGGACATAAAACATTAAAAATTGAACATGGCATTCCACTAACAAAAACAAGAGTTACATAAATGATTATGATGTTTACTAAAAGTTTAAATATATTTTTGTTAATTACTTACCACCATTTTGTAGTTTCCGTCCTCCGTTAGCTAACTTTTGTAGTTCTTCCAGGTCAATATCTGGCCTTACAGGATTTTTTTCATAGAAAGTGTGTATGTAATTCTGGTAACACTGTATTTTAGTTTAAATCCACCATTAGTATTAACTATATTAATAAATTCACACTGTCAATTAATATTTGGGAAATCCTGTATTCTAACGTCACTTATAGGTCCTAAAAACTATAAATATAGTAAAATTTGTTTATTTTCATATAGAACATACGATGCAATTAATTTTTATTAATTGACTTACCTCTTACAAACACACGAGACCAAAAAAATTTGTAGGAATTGTAGGTTATGTTATTCTTCTTCTTTTCTTATATTTTTAGTTTGAGAATGTTTTTTGGCCTAAACATTCAACATTAGTGTGTTTGGTAGCGAATTATTAGATCGGCATCTGGGAAAAATACATACAGTACTTTTCAGATAAAAGTATCCACCTTAAGTAACTTTTGAAGGACTGATTATTACAAAAAACAAAAAAATACATCAATTAATATTCGAAGGGGGAGATATCGTGCCATATTTAAGTTTGCTGAAAAAGTCACCCTTTCATCCCTACTATCATCCCTTCAATTTTTTTAAATGGCTTCCCCCATTTTTTTTATCCATTTTTGGATTGTTCTCGTTTAACTGATTTCAAAAATGTATAAAACATGGGGTTTAAAATAATTAGTTTATGATCTACAGGGTTCCATTATTTGAGTGACAAATTTTTACATCTTACCTTACTGACTGCAGCAAAATTGGATTTAGAATACATTATACCTTAATCGTACCGCTAAAAACTTGTTGAAGTTTTTTATGATACATGGTAAAGGTATTGGAGATTTGAAAAATGAATTTAAATTACTTTTATAGTGTATTTTGATACATGTGTACATTGATTTGTTGAGGTAATTTATTTGATTTGAAAATGTTTTACA